GCACAGTTGCAGCAGGCGATCACCATTATCTGTTCGCTGTGCCGGGATACTAAAATACCTACCTAAATGCCTTTCTGTTTGGTTTAGACTACCTAACTGGGCATTAAAGTCACCTGCTACGAGTACTATTTCTGAACGTTTAGCTTTTTGAATAAGTTCAGAAAGCTTTCTGTAAAAGTCATCTTTCACTTCATCTGAGATGCAGTCGGTGGGGGCGTAGGCAGAAACAAAGAAAAGGCAATGACGTGTGTCCCTATCCTTCCGAGTTCTTACGGAGCCGTTTAGCCGAACAGCAAATAGACGAATTTTAACGGGGATCCACTCTAATAGTGTTTGTTCCGCCATCGTGCTTAGTGCTATACCTACACCTGCCAGTCCACGAGAACTGACCGTCGGGTCAACAGATACACGGAGGGTGTATCTCGTTGACTCTCCGTTTTGCCGAGGTGAGGTCAAGTGAATGACCACACTAGGATTCTGTATGCGTGTTTCGGAGACAAAACATACATCAATAGTACGAGATTCTAGGGTTTTAGACAGAGAGCCTTGCTGGCCGATTTGACCTAGGGTGTGTACGTTGAAGGCTGCAATGTGTAGTTTGGAGCGAGGTTTCAGTAGACCTGGGACAGTGTTTTGCGCACTAGAATCGTTGGCTATGGTGACACTTTAGGAGGAAGTCGAAAGAGGGAGTTTAGTGTTGAAAGTCGGTGTAGAAGGAATAATAGGAATTGAAGAGGAAGATTGATTATGAATACAGTGGTCTTGAGTGCTGTTAGAGGTATGAGAGCGGTTTCCACTTCCCGGTCGCCTACACCGTGGAAGGGTTGTTCTGGAGGTACCTGAAAGGGAGGTTGGGTATGAGGTGGTTTTAGTGACCTAAGGGTGTGACCACAGTGCCCAAGAGACATCTGCTTAAGGTTGGTCACATACGACCTTTTTGTGGGAAATTTTCGTTTTAGCTCCGTACTTGTTGAGACCTTACCGCCGGGGACGAAGATCCGTGAGATAAGGTGAGGTGTGCATTTTTAAGGTCGACCTTTTCCAACCCCACCCCTCCTTGTGGGAAGGCAGCATCGCTGTCATGCTGGTTGTCTGAAGGAAACACCTTACTGCTGTCACACCTCAGTACAGTCAGCAGTAGGACTTCGCCTTTCGGACCTTGGGTTTGCTGCTGTTAGTTTTACCGTTCTTCAACCGACATGTATGGCATGGTAGGACCTTGAGGAACGATTGTTCCAGCTAATATAGCTCGATTGGTTCATCACGATAGGCAAGTCCGGCCACCACGTCAAGGTAGCAACAACGGTCAGGAATACTGATTCCAGCTTTAATTTATCCTTCATGCCCGCACTGCTAAGAATAAACGTGTAATATTCTAGGAGTGGTCGAACACAAACTTTGTGCTTTAAAATACGTGACTCATTGTTATAAGGGTTTCGGTTTGTGTAACTGTTATAATTCTCTCTTACGGTTATAACCCAGCTATTCCTATTGCTTAGTGTTCTCGGACACCGACTCACTCGACAGTTCCCCCAAATCAGAACACGGTTGTCTTTCTCTACTTAAGAGCAGCATTTGACTCTGTAGATCGCGAGATTCTGTGGCAGTGTCTGTCATTGAAAGGCGTACCCCAGAAGTACATAAACCTTGTAAATGCTCTTTACTCGAACACTACTAGTCGAGTAAGAACTTATGGCGAACTGTCATCTACTTTTGCAACCTCAAGTGGTGTCCGTCAAGGCTGTCCACTTTCTCCATTTTTGTTTAACTTCATCATAGATCTACTGATGGAAATAACTTTCTCGTCGACCGAGTTCTCGGGTATTGATCTCCATCCAGGAGGTCCACTTATCGACTTAGAATACGCAGATGACATAATCGCTTTATACCTTTCTTTCTACGAACCAATTTTTTCTTCTTGTACTATATCTCTATATGCAATCTTTGTCCTATATATTACCACCTTTGACCTAACCACTGCTATGAATCCGGTGTTCATCTTATGTGCTGATGCGGTCTGGCAACCTGGACCGATGCACATATGTTTATTTATTTTATTTGAGCACATAAATATTGGTACAAGAGAGCGCCAATATATATGCGCCACACAAAACAATGAAAATTCGAAGAGAGATAGAAAAAAAAACTAAGGAGCACAAAAGAAAAAGAGAACGATAACGAAGAGATTGGTGTAAGGTAGTGTGGTCGTAACGATGGAACGGAAAGGTACAATCAGAAGAAATCTTTCAAGTAAGGGAGACACAACCACTTTTTATGAAGATAGTAAAAGAAGGTTACAGCAGGATCGCCACTGGCTTCTATTCTGAGCCATATCTGATAACGTCTCTAGCCACTGTGCAGCACCATCTCTCAGACCCCTAACAGGGAGTCGTGAAGGACCGACAGAAGTAAGTCCTTTGCAGCTTTCTTTCATACCACGACACCATGTCATGCACTGACCACCTCTCCGCTTTTTCCAACCAGTTCCAGAGTCGGCAAATAATGCACGACGTGGAATTCTCTGGGACGACATTCGTAGAACATGTCCAAGCCACCGAAGTCGGTGTTTCAAGATGGTGACACCAATTGAATTATCATCTCTGTGCCCAAACACACGATGCCGAACCTCTGCATTACTGACATGGTTTTGCCACTGAATGTCAGCAATCGTTCGGAGACAGCGATGATCGAACACAGAGAGTCGTCTAACGTCGGGTTGATGTTGAGTAACCCAGTAATCCATCTTGCCCAATGGGAACGTGTTGAGAAAAGTTACGTTTTGCAGGTTCATTATTTAAAACGTTTAAGGGTAACCGTGGGGTACGTTGGTTCACTGTGGTCTGTCCAATATTAGGCCTGCTTACATAATAATTGCAGTGGTCGTCTTGTGAGACATTTGAATCATGTCTGCCCTTATGACCTCCCTTACGATGCGTAGGGTAAAGCATGGTGTCGGGAAGTGTAGTCTTATTTTTATTTGTTAGGGCCATCGTAATATTTTTGTTATTGGGTCTAGAACCAGAAGGTTCTGTACACACGTTCGTTTTACGTGACATAGACTTTTAATCGTGAAATTGTTTTTAAGAGCTGTCGCATTAGAACTAAGTATTTGCTTATGGGCTTCTAATGGTAAACTGGATAATATCGGATTAGTGTCGTCGTTAAATGTACATTGGTTATCACTACAGGCATAATAGGCAAATTAGCACTCTTCGTTGGTAAATCAGCGTATTGGTGAACATGAGATAGGGTAGCTGCATCAGTGGATCCAACAGCTGATGCACCTTTATTTTCGTTCAAGGTACGTTTTGCGTAAGTCTTTGATTGGTGGTCTTATCTGAGACTATACGAGCGTTTCTAAACTTCATAAGCGCGCAGATTAGCCGATCGAATTCTTTTAACTGTTCAGCTAATATCTGAGAATCGATTCTGAACAAGAACGGGCACGAGTATTTCTGGTGCTTTTTATTAAGTCGAATGCATTGACATGGACTGTCTTGAAGGTTAGATGCTTTTAATATCGAATTCCTTACATTTTTAATGGGGATTCTGTCAGGTATATTATAGACAATCACGTTATTACGAGAGACTATTCGCTTGCTAACTTCATTAGCGATGAAATCGATAACAGATTCTGCTTTTATAATGTTATCAAGTTGCTGCCAGTGGCTCGGATGAGTTGAAAGAGCTTCCGGTAATTACCAGATGCAGCTGCTGCTTCCAACTCATTAGCACGCTTCGACCACCAGGCTTCTCGGTCCTTACGCAAGCTTTTTCCAATTTCCTTACGTAACATCCTTCGTTTGTGGTCAAACTCACAGTCACCCGGAGTAGACCGACGGTCTTCAATGAGTTGTAAGGAACCTGAAGAAACCCAGTGCTTATAAGCGGGACGTTTCGCGAACCCACAACTGACTGTACCCGCCATTTTCATGGCGTCATGCAATTGCAACCAATGCTCATCTATACTTTTCGGTGGAGTGGTAGCTAGCCTAGAAACTAGCTCAGTTCGATACTTGCTAGCAACAGAAGTTGCAACCAGCTTGCTAACATCAATCCGTTGGTGGCGGTCACTTCGTTGTCCACTGAAAAGTAAGGTAATATTGGCGCAGACCAAGGCATCGTCAGAGTCCAGATAGGTACTCCAAAAGGAGCGGCAGTCTTTTACACAACCACGCCAGCGGAAGCTGATCGCGATGTGATCAATCTGAATAATGTGGTAAATAATAATAATAGTAATAATAATGACAATAAATAGTAAGAATAATAGTATTAATAATGACAATAATAGTAATGATAATTATTTGAATCAATCGATTGTTTTTCGGAGCAAGAAAAGTAGTTGCCATAGAGTTCATCGTTTGTGTGTGGGCTGTGATACTGCCCGGGTGCCAAGACCGAAGCAGGTGGTTATCGTAGGGGGCCACACCCGAGCTTTCGACCTGAAGGTCTGATCCACAAGGCAGTGGAGCATCGTAAGGAGATGCAGTCCCTTGGAAGCCGGTGGCTAACAATTGGTTCATACGCCATTTGTTCCCGCAGGATTTCCTTGGCAGTCTGTAAGCGCTTAACCTTACGAGAGTATTTCAGGAGGGGAAGCGGGCTCCTCAACCCTTGACTGTAGCGGGGTGTTGGGGAGCGCTTGGTTAAAAAAAGAAACAGACGTTGATTCATCTTGTAGAATATGCACTATTAAACTTCACAAATCTCACTGTCCAAAAAATGTTATCACATAGAGTCGTACTGTTTAAATTAGTTGTTTCCCTCTTACCCGCTAGTCAGACAGGCTCTTATGCGATAACAAGTTTTAAACAAGTTCATTTTTCCTCTTTAAGCTTAAAATTATCTTGAGTTATAAGTACATTAGTAAAAATCAATCATATCGGTAAATTCTTAAATATAAATATTTCTATGTTATGTTACAGTTCTTATTTTTTTTTACCAAGCTTACATGGTTGCTCCTGTTACATATACTTAAGGTATTTAATTTTTGTAGGGCCATGTCAGCTGATAGTCTTAACTCAATAACTCGACCTATCCCCAAACCATCTGATTTTAAATTTGGTAAAGAGATTGGACAAGGTACCTTCTCAACTGTTTATGTTGTCCAAGAAATTTCAACAAGTTCAGAATTCGCTATGAAGGTTGTTGATAAACAACGTGTTTGGCGTTACAAGGCTGTGGACTCTGTACTGATGGAGAAAGAAGTACTTAAACGCACAAACCATGTTTTCATCATTCGTTTACATTGCACATTCCAAGACTCTACTAGGTTATTTTATCTTCTTGAATATGCAAGATGTGGAGAACTATTGTCATACCTTACTTATTTCACATCCTTGAGTGTTCAATGTACTCGCTTCTATGCTGCAGAAATCTTTGCAGCCCTAGATTATTTACATTCAATGAGTATAGTTCATCGAGACCTAAAGCCGGAAAATGTTTTATTAACAGATAAAATGCACATCAAGCTGGCCGATTTTGGATCAGCTGTTATACTAAACTCTCCAAATATTAAAGCACCTAGCTTTACTGGAACTCCAGAATACGTTAGTCCTGAAATGCTTTCTCGTATTTCTAGACAAGGTGATTGTACTCCGAATAGTGAAAGCTCACAGGATCTTACTTATCTAATGGACTTTTGGGCATTCGGATGTATCATTTATCAGTTGATTTCTGGATCCCCCCCGTTCCGAAAAAGTGGTCCTGTCCATGAATATGAAACGTTTCAGAAAATTTTAAGTTTATCTTATACATTTGCCCCGAATTTTGATCCGATTGCAAAAGATTTGGTGGAAAAACTACTTGTAATCAGTCCCAGTGAACGCCTTGGTAGTCCTTCCCATGGTGGGTCTATATCTGTTCGTCAACATATGTTTTTCTCTGAAATTAAATGGGACATCTTGCCGTACCAAGAACCTCCTTTACTAGTTCCAAACTTGGAACCAATTGCTCCTGAGGGTTGGGATAATCTGCCCGTTGGTTTTAACAAAGCAGAGAAATATCACTTGTCGCGTGAACTCGGTTTGTCTCCCTCTCAAATAACTGAAGATGATCGTGTTCGTTTATTAAATGCACAAGGAAAGCATAATCCTTTCAATCGTTTCGTTCGTGGTCGTTTAATTATAAAACAAGGTATATTGTTTAAGCGTCGAGGATTGTTTGCAAGGAAGCGGATGTTTTTACTAACGGAAGGACCCCATCTCTTTTATATCGATGTTGAAAATATGACACTTAAAGGAGAAGTTGCATGGTCCGATTCGTTAACTGTTGAATTGAGAAGTAACAAATTATTTTTTATTCATGTTCCAAATAAAACATATTATTTAGAAGACCCTTCTGGTCATGCTGACGATTGGGTAGAACAAATAACATCCGTCAAAGCGCGATATTTTAAAGATACTCAAACTTTATGTTCAAATGATCCGAGTACCTCTATCGACTTAGGCATCTAATCTCGTAAAACTCTTCAGACAAACGGCTTGTTTTTTTGTTCAGTTAGGAATGTGAAAAAGAAAAATATTGTTTATATTGTGTTAAAAATCATTTTAAAATGTGTACACTAAATTGTTATTTAGTGTTACCGAATTTAATCAGTTTTGTACAGTCAAAATTTATATATATTAACTTACTGCTTTTTCATTTTTATCTCGTTCAAATTGCTTGTTGCTTGTCTGATATTTTATTATGCGTGTGAATTTATTTTTCCTAATGTTTAACGCGTCGATTATATAAATAGTTGTCATTTTTTACGTTAACTAATTAAAGTTACGTATAGAAAAATTGTGCCATTTGGTAAACTTAATTTTTAAACTTAATGATATGAGACTGCAGTGTACTATAGTTTTTTTATTATTAATCGTTAAATATTGATCTTGAAGAAAGAAAAAAGGCCGCTATTTCGAATTGGTGTGAATCTTTCAGATATAACTAACGCCTCTGTTGCAAAGATCGCCTCTAATCTATTAGAGATTTTCATTAAATGGTACATATGTTATATCGTGCTTAGATGAACGAAATCACTTAAGAATACTATCTTTTTTCGAGAACTTGGTGCTGCCTACACAGAGCTGCTCTAGACAGTTTGACCATGTATAAAAAGCAGACGTTTTACAACTAGCTAGCCTCTTAAAGAACTACACTTATGGTTACGGATTCCCGATGTTACTGGAGATACATTGGGTTCCGTTCGAGATACGTGAGTGGTTTTCACTCTCCGATTCCTCCCACTGTGGAAACATATAACTCGTTGATTGATCGACCTGAGAATGTAATTTCAGAGCCTGAGAAACAACCGCCTTACTACTCTTGTGAATAGTTCTGGATGTATTAGCTCCATACTTTTCAGACCTTACGGGCGATGATGGAAATCCATGTGCTGTTTTAATTGCTGAAGTTTCCTCTCTTCACTTCCATGGGGAAGCAACCATCTTTGGAGATGGCTTATTCATAAGAAATCACACTATGTTATCGTACCCCTAAAACATTCACCAGTACAAGTTAACCGTCGAACTCTAGTTTGATGCTTTCAGTCTTAACAATCTTTAGCCAATCTGCCCAACTTGATAAAACCTCAAGAAGTGAATATTCAACTCAACATAGCTCGATTAAGTTATTATGATACCCAAGCGTCAGGGTGGTTGCTCCATAATCAGTTTTCCAGTAGTCATCAGATTAAGCTTTCTTTTTGATATGTGAGCAAGAATGATAATGATCGGTTTTTTTGCTTAGTCAGACTAGTAGATAGTCTGACAGGTGCTCGATGAGTTATACGTTCTCCTGCCTTTATTATTATTGTGATTGTTGTTGGTTTTTGGTGTGGAAATATTCTTATTTTCTAGTCAGGCTAGTCACATGTTCTTGATCTTAGTTGTGTTGAAGTCCTGTAGAAAAGACATTGGGAGAGCATCTAGTGTTGATATTCGTCTAAGGCAAATTAGCGTCCCATTCGTGTAGATGAGGAAAGCAGCCCTATAATACTTTCTCATACTAGCCATACATTACACTGATAAAAAATCTCCCTGAACAACAGGCGTCCGTTAGTAGTATATCTCTTCAATTCATCACATTTAAAAACAATACTGAGAAGAATCCAACACTCAAAGAGAGATACTAAAATAAAACAAAGAATGTTAGCATTTAATTACAGTCTAGTGAAATTTATGAATGTTTTGTTCATTGTGAAAGGCTATCCCAATTTATCTTGGTTTCGAGTTATCCAGCACATGGTGTTCAACATTATGTTAATTCGCGTTAGGGAAACCACTCCACATAGAACAGACTAGCAGGATACATTGCTATCGACGCAGCTTAATAAACTCGATGGTTGAGGTGTTTAAAAACAATAATTCTTAACCGTACTCACTAAATTGATGTACTTCTCTGGAAACTGTCGTAACCTCTTTTTCATGAATATGATGCTAGGAGTTTTGCTCTTTATTTCTATTCTCTAATATCGACACTGAGTTGCAATTACTTAATGGTTAAAAGGTTGGATCCTCAGCCCCCACCTAATTCTGTTTGGGCAACCGGGTGTCATAGCCGTCACATTGCAAACGTAGTTCCTACCTAACTACCTGGGGAATGAATTTATGTAACTGAATTTAATATGAATACACATTACCGGCTGAATACTGTCGTCTTTCTACTCGATTTAAAGCTGTATTTACCACGAAATTTTAGGGGTAAAAAATAGTTATGCAAGTGTGTAAACACTTCTACCAGATATCTCACTAAAAGCTTTCCATAATATTCAACGAGTTAACAATGCATCAGAATCACTAAACTGATAATGAAATCCTATCTATTATAAAGTCAGTTATTTAATGATGTAAGACTTTCGGATTTGTTAGTAACAAGTTCAACCTTGAATTCTACTATTTCGTTCACCTTGATGTATATGCTATTTCTTATGTTTACTTGTTTTCTAACACTTGGATACTGGTTTTTCTTTTCGCTTTTTTTTCTCTCTCATCTTAAGTTCTAGTCGTTACCAACAACACCATCGTCAACATTATTGTTATTATTATCGCCACCATTGTTATGCGTGATTAAAGCCAGCCAATAACTTTCAATCTCCATTATGAAATTCACTTCATTTGCATATTTCAATAAGTTTTTCATGGGTCTTGATTTTGTCCCATTAGAAAATGAGCAACCAGTTCGTGGTGGATTCTACAGAAGTTCACAGATTTTTATCCCACTCGCTAAATTTATGAATGTTCCATTAGATCAAATGAACTATGTTGTTAGTGGAGTGATTAGCATCGGTCTGGGTCAATTAATGCGACGCCGGTTATCACCTAAGAAATGCTCTCCACGAATTCGTGCACTTTTTGAAATCTTATTCGGTCTGTTGTTATTATCATTTTGTTTTGGTAATCAATTGCGTGTATTATTGATACAATCAAGTATTGCTTATCTATTCATGATGTGTCTACCTAGTAATCATTTTATGGCTGTATTAGTGACAATTTGGTCGTTATTTTATCTTACATTAGTGCATATTTGTCGATTAAAATATGATTATGGGGGATATACACTGGATATTTCTGGACCAGTAATGGTACAAACTCAACGTTTATCTAGTTTAGCGTTTAATCTTGTCGATGGTGTATCAATGCGTAAAATGTCTGGTCCAAATTATTGTAAATCACAACAAACTAATTATTCCACTAATGAAATAATCAATCGTGATGAAACTGTGGAACAATTCCCACCTTGTTGCAAAGGGAACACATTCACTGAACTTGATACAACAACAATGATAATGACTTCGAAATTGAACTCAAACACTATTCATTATCATGCGCCAAATCATTGTAAATCAATGCAACGTGCTACTGCTATTGCGTCGGAGAGTCATTCTGTCATGATGAATATCCCTTCAAGTCATAAATTACATGCTGTTGAAAAAATTCCAGATCCTATTATATTTTTTGCATACATGCTTTATTTTCATGGTGTATTTGTTGGACCTTTCACGTTTTTTTCTGAATATATGGATTATCTTAAAGGTTACACGAGCAAAGAATTACCTCCAATCAATATGCGTTATTTAATCACTTTATTTCTACGTACAGTAGCTTCGGGCTTATCAGCTGCCTATCTATGTCCTTATTTCCCGTTTGAATTTGTTTTAACTGAGCCGTTTACAGTAAGTTCTATTTATAATTGTCTAACTAAAATATTTGTTGAAATCACGAAATGACCCAAGTTAAACAACCACTGAACAATTGGAAGCACTGAACTGGTATTTTGTCCTGTTATGGAACTTGTTAGGGAGTTCCAAAATTTATCGAAAAGGAAATATTATCCAGTCAGCGTTGAATAAAGACTTTCCAGAAACATCTGGAATTTGGGGAGTCACGTTTCCGATTGTATATTTACCTATACTGCTACTATATTTAGAATGGACCCAGAAACTTCCAGAAGCCTGATGTCATGTAAATATACTTTTTTTCTGTGCACGAACCAACCTTGGATTGTAGAGTCCTTTTAGTACCTTTCGGCTTTTTTCTTGTGTTCAAATTACCGTGTAGATTAATCTTGGGGTTATTAGAAGTGTCTAAGAAATCGGATCGAGCATTCATTTCGCAAACGTATCACAACACTTGTGCTCATTCTCAACTCCGCAACTGGTAATCGAAGCCAGGCGATTCATTCTCGTTCGAGAACTCTCAACTTCTAGACTACTGACTCAGAATCCAATGGTGTACAACTTTAACTCCAATCAATCAACAATTTTGCTAGGAAATATTTCATTAGCTTCAGCGCATAGCGTCTTCACAGCCGACGTCATCGAACTTCAATGGTCAATGCATTCTCATGACAACTTTGGGAATCCCTCCTTGCGCTCAGTGGTCTAGATGTCAAGCATTCACACACAAAACCGGATGCCCTTCTTCTGAATCCCGGTTGCGGGGTCGTGCGTGCGTACTGCTAAGAAGTCCCATACTCGGACGAAACGCCAGTCCAGTGCTTTCAACTGTTGTGTAACTTAGATCGGTTCTTGAGCTCAACAAAATTTCTGAAATCTCCACAACCCTATACTGATAAAATATTTTTATCTAAGAGGAAAATAATTGTTACTTTTAAAAAATTATGTGATAGTGAATCAATAGTTAAAGCATTTGGCTAATGGTCGCATCAATAGAAACATAACCTTGAATACATCTCGTTTGAAGTACAAGAAACTATTTTCGAAAGACTAAATCGTATTCGGTATTCATCTCAATTTCAGGATTAGTTTCAAAAATAATCAGTAGTTTGAGACGATAGTTAATTTCATTCACTTCGTCTCATGCAGTTGTGATATAAAGCAACCAAAAACACTATCATGCTTTTTATGTTTACTGTGTTCATAATACATGTATGCATCAAGTCGTTTCATTAAAAAGGGCAGGTCATTCTCTCTCTTCATCTGTCAACAAAACAGTAGAAATAAATTTTCGTA